ATATTTTGATCTTTTTGTTTCTATTTTCTGAGTATTAGGAGAAAGAAGATGGTATCTCTCACACCCCATCCTGTTCCTAAATTCTGCCTGATCAGGAAGAGAATTTTTCATCTCTAATCAAACAAGTAGGCCCTTCTTTATACAATCAAAGAACTTTCTTCTTATCATCAATATGTGGTAGTAACATTTCACAGCTTTACTGCCTATAATCTGCTGGTTTAAGCATAATTCTAAGTTAGAAATTTTTTGCTGAAAACTTTTGTGCTGATTTTTTTTTAAGTACATCTCAAGGAAAAATCTGAAGCTAACTTAAACATGACATTATATAACATGTTTATGAACAAATTAAACAGTATACTTTTCTTATCGTAAAAGGTGATCAGTGGTTATTTGCCTGTTTCCAAAATTTAAGAGTCAAGGAAAAAATTATTAGAAGGATAAAAGAACAAAAGATAGTTTAGTGGTTTAAGTTTTAGTGGTCTAAAATGAAAATTAATTAAATGTGGTTTGTTGTTTTTTAGTCATTTCATGATTTCAGTGATGTAGTTAACTGCTTTGAATTACCTACAAACTGAACATCTAGTCTTAAAAAGATGTAGAATTTTTTACTAGCCTCTGTTAGTAAAATTATAAACAGAATGCTCTATAGTTTTTGCTTACCTTGAAGGTACATTACCATTATTACCCAAATAGGCAAAAATTACATAAAGGACATTGTCATTTCCTTTAGGCAGTTCCAGAAAAAAATATTGAGCTTCAGAGTGGCATCAATTTCGGTATAATGTAAATGATATTAATGAATTTAGGAGCTATAAAAATATGTATTATTACTGATAGCTATTATGATTGACTGATAATAGAAATTAACTTTGGTAAAAGGGATTTTGGCACTTGATTCTGTACCTTGTTTTAGAAATTATTAAAAATTTTATTGAGCTCCTACTCTGTGATGAGCTATTTTAAACAATGGGGATATTATTATGTTAATAAAAAATTATAGTGTAAGGAATTATTTATTTTACACATTATGCTTTAATTTACAGCTTATCTTTTGAAATAGCAAAGGTTGTTTTTTTCTGAAGCAGGATATTGTAAAAAAAATTACTTTTTAATTCAGAAAACTTGAATGCTAAACATTTTAAGGCTATCCAGAGATAAAACTGACATTTCCAGTATTTTGTAGGAACCATTTTCTCAGTGTTCAAAAGTATTAGTATTTTTTAGTTTATTAAAAAAACTTTTTTCATATTTTGCTCATTTAGTGCTTATTAACACTTTAGGTTAAATTAATTAAATTTAGAGGCTGTTACTTTTTAAGGTAAAATATAAGCAGTATAATTAGATTATTGTGAAGGCCATTTTTATTTTAACCTGATGCCACCATTATTTTCAGCAATCCAATATAAACTGTCAATTGTTTTCTTCTGTACAATTTAAAAATATTGTATTTGACTAAGTTTTGACTTCTATGATTTTTATCTTTATGGAGATAACTCACTGTGCTGCTTTAATAATATAATTTTTCCAACTTAAAAAAATTAATGAATTATTTCATAAATATATAAATATTATTCAAGAGTATAAAGACATGCACTAATATTTGCCTTCTAATCTCAACTTTCCACTTTCTGTGTAACCTAAAGTAAATCACTTAAATAGCTTTTTTGTCTATAAAATGGGGATAATAACACCTACTTCACAGAGTTGTTATGAGAATCAAATGAGTTAATATATATAAGATTCTTAGAACAATGCGTAGAGTGTAGGAAAGACTATATATGGTTTAGCTATTATTTGGCCTTTTCTCCTTAAAGTTTAATTATTCAGTAAAACCTTGATTTTGTGGACTTCAATTTCACAGACTTCAGATTTAATGGACAAAACTTAACAGTCCATATGTAAAATTAACACCTTGTTAATCTTAAAATGCTTTTAACCAAGATTTGCTTATAATTAAATCAACAAGGTTGTTTTTTTGTTGTTCACTGTTATTTCTAACAAATCATAGTGACTAGGCCATATGTTGGAAAAAACACTGTAACTTTGCCAACATAAATATTATATATCTACAACTATAGTTTACATATTTAAATACAAGAGTCAGTACTTGTAAACAGTGTTTGAATGATTAGCACATGACCACACCGCATCACACCCAGAAATTGGTTCTGTTGGCGCGTGGCATGACTTTCTATAGCAGTTTATGGCGTGCTGGCTTATGTTCCGACATGCGCTAAGCCACACCCCAGCTGTGTGCATTTGTTTACTCGTGGTGACTGGTTGAATGCACACATTTATTAGACCTATTCAGTATGAATTTAAAATTACTGTAATACATATAGAACAGTTTTCTGTGAAATTAAACTTTCATACATACTTAATTTTAATTACATTAATGTGTCTACATAAGTAAAAAAGTTAAACTCACTAATTTGTCAAATTTTTAACATATGCATTCGGAAAACCTACTTTTATATAACGGACTTCAGCTTTAACAGACAACCCCTCGCCAGAATAGTTCGTTATATCAAGGTTTTACTGTGTTTCTTTCAATTTAAGGCTTATTAGAGTCAATTATGCAAGTGCTGACATTGGCTTCCTGTTAGCAATTATTTTCTTTGATTTTATACAATTAGTATTGTCATATGCTGCTGTAAGAACTGTATTTAAAGCTTAAAACTTTCATAAAGTTTTTTGTTTAAATTTAAATTGTTTAACACTGTATTATTGATAGAAAAATATTTTTTTAAAAAGCTCTCAAACTTGCATAAAAGTTTTGGATATTCATATGTGGTTACAAAAGTTTAGGAAAAAACTTAGGCTAAAATAAATGGTTAAATTTTCTAACATGCAAGGGGGAAACTGGGTTTGGGAAGAAATTTCTAAAATCAGAACTTTATAGTAATTTTTACTAGCTTCTTTAGAATGAGATATCAATAAAAGAAACTAAAAATTAAAACTCCTTTTTTTCTGAAGTTCATTTATTTGCTAGTCTCATAACATTAGATTTTAATAAGGCTATGATCTTGATTTTGAATTTGGAGCTGATAAATTTTCAACTATGTAATTCTTAAGAATTTTTGTAGAAAAGTTATATAGTATTTGCCATAAACTTTGCTGAGTCCTATGAGAATATTTTGTGGAAAGAATATTTTGTGCAAGAAAAAAAAAGAATATTTATGCATGTTGAACATAATCTCTGTCCTCTGCACAGAGATTCTTATGATCATTATGAGAGATATAACCAAAATATTTACATCCATCCAGATGCACAAATATGCAATAATAAATAATAAGTATATATGCATAAACGTGAAGATTCTTAGATGTTTTACTTCTCATTTAGAAGAATTTCTAGGGGTGGGGGTCATGAAGAAGAAAGCCAGCATCATTTTAGTATTATATTCTCAACTTAATAATAAAAGAAATTTAACTTTGTAAAATTTGACCTATGTAGGGAGTATAAATGTATATTTTCAGGAATATAGTGGAATCTTGGCATAATACAAATTTCTCTTGACCTGAATTTGGTATAAGGTGGCTCCTTTTGGACATCATACAAAGAGGATGATGTGAATGAAGTAGCAGGAAGACTAGTCTCCTTTCATCCATAGCATGAATCCTGAAAATATTTTGAATTGCTCTCTCCATTTTAAAAATGAGAAAACGGGTCTCAGTCTAAATAAGAAAGCCTAATTCTAGACAGCACCATCAATAAATTACTATGTGATCTTGGACAAGATCTGTCTTACTCTGCATCTGAATTCTCGTTTTGATGTTCAGTTATTGTCCTGTTGCTTATTGCCTTTGTGTTACAAACCTAAAGAGTAGCAACATCTGACTTTTTGACTTCGTCCTTTTTTTTTTTCATTGTATTTTGCTGGCTTCTGAAAAAAAATACTTTAGTTATTTCTAGGTAATGTAAAGGCCATGGTAAATTCAAAGATGTATTTTACTTCTAATATTTCTAATTTGTATATATCTGTACAGTTAAATAGTATTTCATTTTGTTATTTCTGATTTCATAAATATTTTTGAGCCTTTACCATATACTTAGCAATTCAGGCAGCAAAAACAATGTAATAACATGGAACATTAAGCCTGCTTCTCAAACTATGATTATAAATTTGAGAAAGTGGCTTCACTTCTTTAAGCCTCGATTTCCTCAGTGAGAGAGTTAAAGTAGGCAGTCTGTAATATCCACTTTTATTAAAAAATCTGTGATTTTTAAAAAGATGTAAGAAAACAGATAGTTTTTAAGGTTTGATGGTTGTTTAATGGAAAGGGCTAGTGATAGGCAGAGGAGGTTTCTTCCTAGTGGATTAAATGGTGTTTTAGTCAGAAATTTAAAAATACAATTAGTTTTTTTAAAAACAATGTATTGATTTTATTTGATAGGGATGAATAGATGTTAATGCTATAATAAAATTAAATAAAATACTTAACAGATAGTTTCCTGACAAAGAGAAGTTTAGGAGGAGGCTGGAGATTTTCATTTGTAATATATGATCAAACAGATAGGCTAGATTTGCAGAAAAGATGATGACTCTTGCCTGATAAGGAAGAAAACGGGAATTTATGAGGCCCTATAAGACTTTACAATGGTATATTTAGATCAGCTTTCTATGTTAAGATCTAGTTTTTCTGCTTGGAACTTAAGTAGGAAAAACTGAACAGCAGTTTGAATTGCTTGATTTATTGGCACAGCTCTATCTTTAACTGCACTTCCAAATGTTTCATCACCTTACTGTCTCTTTCTATGCATGTTAACATTTTAAAATATATTCTGGTAGTTTTCTAATTCATTGACACTGCTGTATTGGCTTGTGCCCATCATTATTTAAAAACGGATTTGTACTTTTAATAAATTTTCTTTCATTGAGCTTACAAAAATCTCAGAATTTTTTTATTTTTAAGCATATGACTAGGGTATGGTCGAAAGTAATACTTATTTTTCATATTCATATCATTCTACTCTATGTAATATTTCTTTTTTACAGATATTGATGATACTCAAATACTTCCCCGCCCAACTAGAGTCAGACATTTTTCACAAAGTGAAGACACTGGGAATGAAGTTTTTGGTGCATTGAATGAGGAACAGCCACTGCCTCGAAGTAGCAGCACTTCTGACATCTTGGAACCATTCACTGTTGAACGAGCCAAAGGTGCAGTTCCTGTCATTGACAGTTCGTCCCGTCATGCGCCAAGCTTGCAGAGTTCCACAGAGGCTTCTTCAATAACTAGATCCACTGAAAGCCACATCACTGATACTCATAGTAGAGAGTCTTCTCTGGAAGTTGGTGATAGCATATATGACCATCTTTGTCACTTAATAGATCCAGTAGAACTCGCAGATTCAGCTTTTGAACAAATCCAGTACATTGACCTTGAAGGAGATGACGATCTTCTTTCCTCCCTGAAAGAATATTTTAAGGAAAACCAGGAAAATCACAGTAAAAATGAGTTAGGTAAAGATGCAGCTTCTCAGGAAGTGATTATTGCAGTAAATAGGGATGAAAGGTCATCCTTAGATAAATTAGAATACTTAGATCAAGAAAATAAATTAGAAAATATCTCCTCTTTTGTTGGGACTCCTGTAAACATACAGTTTCAAAAAGAACAAAACTCATCTGTCTTCATGAATAATATTTCATCTAACCAATTAGATAGTTTTATGAGAACAAAGACTTCTGAAAAATCTAAGCAACTAAACAGTGATAAACAGTCATCGGAACCTAGTTCAGGTAGCCCTTGTGATAAAGAAAAGAGGAAATATCTATATCGACAAGCAGCCACAGAATTAGATGCTTGTGTAGATATAACACTAGTTGAAAAGGTTATGGATATGCAAATTAATGAAAACAAAACTGTCCCTCATGTTATGCATGCCAAGAAAACCACACTAAAAGCACCTGTTAACCGTAGAATGCCTCATGTTACAAACACTAGCAAGCTTTCTCCAACCAAAAGGAGCTTGTCTGAAACAGTAACTCATAGAGCCAAAATCATGAAAATTGCTACTAAAAAACGAACTAGTGTTCATGTTACTTTTAGACCATCTACTGAGTCAGTTCAGTTTTATAATCCTATGGAAAACAAAGAGGCCCCATGGAAGATGAGACTGCGGAAGCTCGGTGGCTTCAGTAGTAGTAGCAATAGCAACACCAGTAACCCCCCGCATACCGGCTCAAATAGTGTTTCTGAGCTAGTAAAACCTGGTGTGTACAGACCTCTAGATACAATTGGTACAACATCAGTAAGTAGTAAAACAATTAAGGAGGCTGCAGAAATTCCCACCATATTACAAAAGGAAGGAATTGCAAGTAATCAGCTAGGTAGTCGTAGTACTCTTAGGTCATCAAGTCATGATACAGGACTACCGCAGGGCTCCCTGGGTGGCGTTTATAAAACTGTTGTACATGCTCTTTCAAAGCCGAAGGCAAATGTTTCCCCACAGAGGCAGAACAGAATGCCACCAGAGGCTCCACTGAGGGATCTGTACAGTCATGTAATGGGCTATTTTGGAAGGAAAGCTGCAGGTGAGCACTAACAATGTGCAGAGCGCAAAAGGAGAAAGACAGCACCAGTTTGGCTTAATGCAACTGAAGCAAGCTATAAGCAATCAAAAAGCTTTGGGATGGTCACTGCTTTCTCTCTGTTTGGTTATGCATGCGCCTTTTCCCAGCTATATTTTTCCCAGCATAAAATGTTTATTTAAATTACTAATTTCCCTTATAAGGCATTTAGTTAAACCTCTTTGCTGCTGAACAAGATAAGAAAAAGGAAGATATAGGAAAATTTCAATAACCTTTCAAAGGTTATCTAAATAAAATATTTTTTTGAGTGTTTACTACATGAGCCTTGAAATTAAGTTTTCTGAGGAGCTAGAATACTTTCACCCCTATAGTTTATATTTAAAAGGGCACTAGCTATATCATTGAGTTCATTTATTTTTATTGCTTATATTTTTTTCTTGGTAGAATGTTACTTTGACATTTGTAACATAATGGAAATCAAGGTCCTACAATCAGCACCAACATTTTTAGTTAACTGTAATTGAAGAGGAAATTATTTCTTAAATCTAAAAGTGTATATAGTTATTTCTTATTTAAGTGATTTCCAAACAAGCTATAGACTATTTAGTTTTGCATTCATTTGTATAGAATGCAAATTATGTCCTTGAAACACTTATTGTTACTTTCTCTTTTCTGAGATTTTAGATGTGCATAAAGGTTTCATGATAACCAATCATGATTTAAATATGGAACCTCTATGGACAGATTTAAAAAAGCGAGATTGTGATAACTATTTTGTCTTGATTCAAATTTAAAATAACTTCACATATATAGAAAATTAACTTTCAGCAGTAAGGTAGGTTTTGATTTTATTTGTTTAACATGGTTTTGTTAGCATGATTAACAATGAATGCAACTTGCATTGAGCCATTAATGCCACTTGAGGGCAGTATTTGACAGCTTAGCAAAGCCTGGCCATTACTATAAAGATAATGGTATTTCACAATTAGCTCCTGATCAGTGTATTTTCTTAACCTGAAATGCTTTGTAGTTAATTAGGAATATAACAAGTGCTGATTTTCTTTTAATTGAAGAGAAATCAACTTTTTAATGGCATAATAGTGAAATATCTTATTTTCTGTAATTTAAATTCCCAAGTTTAACACTTTCTTGGTAATGTTAATCAGAATGTAGACATTAAAAAATCAAGATAACAAAAAATATCAAGAAAATTATTTTGGGCTTTTCTTTTTACAGAAAAACCTTTGTGAAAATACCTTTTATTAAAGCAATAAAATTAGATTTTGTAGTGAATAGAAGCAACATGTCAAAATCATAGAATTTTTATTTATAAATATCTAAATTTAAATGCATTTATGTCCCACTGAGATTTGCATAGATTCAAGGGATATATTTATTGCAAATATTCTTTTGGAAAAAAGGGAAATTATAAATTAAGACTAAATAGAAGTATAGAGGCAGAAAGAAAGATAAATATACCAGTTTCTTTATAATCAATATTAACCTAACTCCAACTAGTGCTTATCTATAAGCTTTCTTGCTATTTAAGGTTATACTGAAGATTGACTAACATCTGCTTAGTTAAAGTAAATATCAATTTACTAATTCTTAAAATTAAATCTAAAGGGAGAGAAATTATTTATAAATGCATGTTTGGCAAATAATTGATATGGCATAGGTAATTTGTTTTGAGTTGTTCTTGTTTGTTTCAAATTTAGAAAATGCGGTTAAGTCTTTCCTCACTATATATAGTTATTTATTTATTTTTAGTCAATAAAGAGGATATGAGCCCAAAACTGCCTCCTCTTAATAGTGATATTGGCAGCAGCAATGCTAATGTTCCTGATCTGATGGATGAGTTTATAGCAGAACGACTTCGAAGTGGTAATGCCTCAGTAAGTATTATTTTATTTTATATATCTGGTTTTAGAGAGGAAGGTAGAGAAACTAAAAGATGTATAACTATGTTCATCTATATATAATATATGGAAATTTTTATTCAAAACAGCCTTCCCCCCAAATTTAACCTTTTTTAATTAAACATTTTAAATTATATTTTCATATTTTATTCAAAGAATAAAACAAGCAGGCATATAGTTTTGACCAGAGTAAAACAGGTGTTTGCTCAACTACTTAACTATAAACTACTGCCTTCTTAATCCTCCCTCTATTTGCTCATAGGTTACCCTGATACCGTTGCCAGCCCTTAGCAGAAAAGATAACAGTGGAGGTCTTCTGGCCAAACTCCCATAACATTGATAGCATAAATTTCTCAGTCATTACAGATAACTTTGAAATAGATTTAAAAGTTATCTTTGTTTTGAGTATTAGAATTATGGCAAAATGAAAATAGAAGCAATTTTATCCCTAATAATGCTTAATTGTTAAGGAAAGATAAATATGTGTGGAATTGCCTTTTAGAATGGTCATAGTCCAGTCCTGGCTGGTTTGGCTCAGTGGATAGAGTGCTGGCCTGTGGACTGAAGGGTCCCAGGTTCGATTTTGGTCAAGGACATGTACCTTAGTTGCAGGCTCAATCGCTGGCCCCTCAGTTCAGTCGATGTGTCTCTCTCACATCAGTGTTTCTCTCTCCACCTCCCTTCTACTTTCTCTAAAAATCAATGGAAAAAATATCCTTAGGTGAAAATTAACAACAACAACAAAAAGAATGGTCATATTACATTTGGGTTTCAACTTTTCTTTTTAACTAATTAATTTTATTTCATCACCATTTATACCCTCTATACCCTCTTTCATCAACTCAACTTGTCTTTAATGAAAGTCTGCAGGACCATTACATTTCCCACCCTTATTTTTTTTCTTGAGTGGGGAAAAAATTATAGGATCATTATAGAATAACATCTTTATAGCATCATTATAGAATGACATCATTGTAGAGTGGCATTCTTTCCTCCTTTCACTATCTCTTATTGCTTCTTCTTTTTCCATTTGAATATTTTCCTCTTTCTACTCTCTTAACTTATATTTACTTTATGGATACTTTTGAGGCTTAAGAGTATTAGGCCCAGTACCATCTGATATTTGGGTCTTTGCTTTAGGCGGACTAATAGTTTCAGGTTCCAGCTCCCAGCTCCATACAGTTAATATAGATTGTACCATTAGTATGTTTTTCCCCTCCTGTTTCAGGCCCTAATTCACAACATTTATTGTGATAATTGTCTCAGGAATGAAAGATTTCAGATTTTCAGTGAGAATTTAAGAGCTTTTTTAAAATGGTAAATGTTTCTTAAATTTTTAGACTATGACAAGAAGAGGAAGTAGTCCAGGCAGCCTCGAAATTCCCAAAGACCTCCCTGATATTCTAAACAAGCAGAACCAAATGCGCCCTATTGATGACCCAGGTGTACCCTCAGAATGGACTTCTCCTGCCAGTGCAGGGAGCAGTGATCTTATCAGCTCAGATAGTCATTCGGATTCTTTCAGTGCTTTCCAATATGATGGACGAAAATTTGACAGCAAGTATCTTTTTCTATTTGAGCATTATTATTTTTTTGTTGACTGTTTTCTGTTTGAGATTGAGTTATGAATCACATGACCATCACCTTCCTCTCTAGTATTACGTAGGGGATTTCTACATATTTTGATTTCATTTTTTAGTGAAATTCCAAAGGAATTTTTAGGGAATCATTTTCAAGTTGGGGCCATTTTATTTTGGCAGACTAAAGACATTTTAAAAGACAAAATATACTGTCCTTTTATAAAATGAATGATTTAAAGACCAAAAATGTAGGAAGGAAAAAAAATTAGTATGGACTTGATATTAGAATAAAGGTCAGATAGTCATGATTATGAGTTGTTACTACTTTATATACTCATATTTGGGAACCTAATTATGTTCAGTGCTTCAGTATGTTCAGTATAGTTATGTTTATTGCTACACTATTGAGAATGTTTCTTGAATAATTCATGTTAAAATGACATCAGTGATATTATTTGGTATTATATCACTACCATATATCTTTTCTACTGTAAATTCTGTATTACACTTGGCAGTCAGTGAAGGGCACCAAAATTTTAAAAAAGGAAGTCAAAACCTTGGGAACCAAGTTTGTGAAGAGCTGAGAGATACATTGGAGAGTTACATGTTTGCCACCCTTATGGATATATACTGCTCTTACCTCAGACTGGAAATATGATTTAAAAGAAAAATGATTTTTATCATCCACATATGTGTTATTTTTACTATATATATATGTGTGTGTATACACACACACACACACACACACACACACACTAAAGATTATAAAGTACTTTAAGAGCAGTAAGTGTATTACTATCAGAAACATGGGTAAGAATAGTGATGATACATGTCTGGGTGTCTTTTAACATTGTTGTTTGTTAATAATTATCTATGAGAACTTTTAAAAAATTTTTCTAATTGTAAACTTCCAAGTATTAACATTATTTACACTTGTGTGAGTGGTATATAAATAGAATAGATTTAGGGAGAATGTCAATGTTTAATTATTTTGCTGAAGTAGCTGTGTCTCTTGTAGATATTTTTGTTTTGTGATTGGGACTTTTATGTACTAGCATTTCTTTTTCCTATAGATTTTGGCTTTGGAGCTGATACTGGGATTGCATCATCTGATGTGGATTCAGGTTCTGGTCACCATCAGAGTACTGAAGAGCAAGAAGTGGCTAGTCTAACCACGCTTCACATAGATTCTGAAACAAGCAGTCTTAATCAACAAGCTTTCTCTGCTGAAGTTGCAACGGTTACTGGTAAAGTTACTCAAGGGAATGTATTTCTTAAATGCATTTTTTAAATCCACCAAAGAACCTGTTTAGAATTTAATTTTGATAGATTTTAAGTATTACTTATAACTATTTAAGTATTATTATTATTTTGTTGTGGTTTATAATCCTCACCCGAGGATATTTTTCCATTGATTTTTTTTAGGGAGAGTAGAAGAGAGAGGGAAAGACAGAAACATCGATGTGAGAGAAACACATCAATTGGTTGCCTTGTGCACCAGTTCTGACCAGGGCCCGGGCCGGGGAGGAACCTGCAATCAAGGTATGTGCCCTTGACCGGAATCGAACCCAGGACCCTTTGGTCCGCAGGCTGACACTCTATCCACTGAGCCAAACCGGGTAGGGCTAAGTATTTTTTTTTCACTCACCTTTATGTAATAATAGAGAAAAAAATAAATGAGAGTTTTTTGACCTAGAATCCACATGCATAAGCTTCAGGGGATTCTGTGAACTCCTAGTATTGTATGTGAAATTTTGTGTATGTTGACATTAGAGCATTTTCTGCAGCAATTTTTAAATAGATAACAAACAAACAAAAGTTAAGAATTACTGCACTCTACCTTTTTCATTGTCTTTCAGAATCATCCTAGATTTTTATAAATTTCTTTGGCAAGTATTATAAAAAATGTAAAGCGTACTGGCTATTGAGCTTATTTTTCAATATACTAATATTCTATGTTCATACAGTAAATAATTATATTCAGCAACTTTTCATGTTATGTATTCATTCATTGAATATTCTGTGGAATTGTACTCAAGAAAAAGGAATTAAATGTTAATATATGAAAACCATAACTCTCAAAAACATGCTAAATGAGAGAAGTCAAATACAAAAGCCTACATACCATACTTTATTATTCCCATCTATAGTAAATTCTAGAAAAGACAAAACTGTAGTGACAAAGCAGATCAGTTATAACTTGGTTAGGGAAGGGGATCAACTGGAAATAGGCATAAGAAAGCTTTTAATGGTGATCTGTTATATATTTTTATTGTGTTGAATATAGGACTATATACAGTTGCCAATTTTATATAATTATACACTTAAAATGTGTGGGGGGAAAAAAGTAAGATTTTAGATTTTACTGTGACACACATTTTAATATTATCAAAACTAAATTTTTGGACAGTGTAGAGAGATTATTGAACCTTGAAAAGATTGGAATTTCAAAGTAGAAATAATAAAATGCCTGAGAAGTTTGCTCAGTAGTTTAGAGATCTCCTGATAACCATCCCAGCTTGTGACTCAGAATCCCACCATATGTGCCTCTGTCTTAATCTGGAGGCGAGTTACTTTTTTGAAGGTAAGAAAAGTTTCTAAACATCTTGCTCTGAGTGAACTAGAGATGTTTACCATATAAGCCATATTCTAGTTTTCTTTAAGCTATTTATCAGACTATTGTATCTTCAAAAGATTATAATATGTAAAAGAAGTATGACCCCACTTTTTCTTTCTTATTTCTTTTTAGTTACCAAAAATAAAGTTTCACACAAAGCTCTGAAAATAAAACTTGATATGTATAGAGAACTTATTTTAGGCCTTTGCCTCACAATGATTTCAGGCTAATTCAATTTCTAAGAATTTTTAATATTTATGTAACGTATGTTTGCTATACATAGTGACTGTTTCTAGGACTCTACTAGGAAGTTTTATTAGGTATTCTAATCTTAATGGGGCCATTATTAATAGTGCCAGGGGTGTTTTTCTAAAAAACTAACCCAGTTCTTGGATTAATTTGTTTAGAAGATATAAAATTCAGCGAAGTATACAACTTCATATACTCAATATAAAAACAATTCAACACAGTATTTTCTGAAGGTGAAATTTGCATGTGTTATCACACTGTTAACTTTAAGAATAGCTGTATTCTATCAAAGAATGTTAGTAGTCCTGAAATACCCTTTTGTTTTCCTATAACTTTTTTTGAACTACAAAATAAAATCTCATATAGGTCATAAAAACAAAAACTAAATAGCTTGTTTTGTGGGTATGGCTATATTTATAGCAATATCTTTATTTTAAAAAAATTAATATTTTAGTCTTGACCGGATGGCTTCTTTGGTTGAACCGGGTTCAATTACCAATTAGAGCACATACCTAGGTTGTGAGTTCGATCCCCAATCTAGGTGGCTATAGGAGGCAACTTTTAGATATTTCTCTCTTACAACCAAGTTTCTCTCTCTCTCTCTCTAAAAATCAATTTAAGAATATCTTTGGGTAAGGATAAAAAAATATAAATAATATTTAATGTCATATCTTGGATATACTGTACATATTTATAACAAAGCAAAAAAATCTCTTTTGCTTTTGACTATGAAGCTAATGAATGTTTTTGTCACATACTTAAATTTTTTGATAAATGTTAAGGAGATTTTTTTCATTGTGCCCTCAGCAGTTTGTGTTTGTATTAAGGTATAGTATCCTTAAGTTTCTGTAGCTGCCCTTTAACATGATTTTGTATCATATTAATTTACACCAAATTCCAAATGAAGGACAGGAAACTTACCACATACTATGTATCATAATTTAACCTAGATTAATTCATATGATTATCATTAAATAAGGCATTCATACCTCCATATGTACTTTTTAAGGGACTTACTGTGTTATAATTAAAAATTATATAAATAATATGAAATGACACATTTGTGGAAATAAAATAATACACATGTATTTCATTTATGTGCTTTTTGCTTTATTGTATGGAAAGAGGTAACAATCGGAGAGTTTTATGATTATTGAATACAGAATATTGATATTTCTCTACTAGAAAGCTTTTTTTATTGATTTTTTGAAAGAGAGAGAAAAAAACAAAAGTTTGTTGTTTTACTTAGTAATGCATTCAGTGTTTGATTGCTGACCAGGGATGAACCAGCAACTTTGGTGTATCGGGATGACTCTCTAACCAACTGAGTTACCAGGCTAGGGCCTCTGCTAGAAAGAAGCTTAAAAATAAAATGAAAAGACCTAATATTTTAACTACTTGCTTGGTACTCGCAGTACTCCACTACATCCACCACCAGTTATTCAATACGATATTAATTTGCATTATATATCATTTAAAATAAGAAGAATGAAAAAAATAAAAAATAAAATAAGAATGCCTGCTATGTGCCAGACACTGTAGTAGACACTGGCAATACTATAGTATATAACATAGATACAGTCCCTATTCTTACAGAGTATATGTGCTACTGAAGAATATTTAAAACTAAACAGGCAGTTTCAAGTCATTGTGATAAGTGATATAATGGGGAGATACAAGGTGTTATAGCAGAGAATCCTTATTCACCCTGGTCAGGTCAAGTCAGGATTAGGCTTCTTAGAAAGTAGTGTTTAAGCTGTGACTTGAAAAATAAATAAAATTCAACCAGGCCTAAAAGAAGAGGGTTAGGGCTCCATGTAAAGGAAAACATGTGAAAAAGGCCAGAGGTATGATGCATTCTGATAAATACCAGTTTACTTTCTATGGCTAGAACTTAAAAGTACTCGAGCAGCAATTTTCAACCAGTGTGCCGCAAGAATTTTTAAAACATGCAGTAACTGACTTTATAGTCAGGGACACTGACCTACCTCTTTTCCCTTTGATTGTCAAATTTTAAAAAAATGACAACAGCCAACACAACAATAGCTATTCAGTGTGAATGAATTAAAATTATACCTTTTTTTGGTCAGATCAGCAAAAAATATTTGGTGTGCCACAGAATTTTAGTAATTAACTTATGTGTGCCATGAGATGTAAAAGGTTGAAAATCGCTGTATTAGAGGGAGAGTAGAATGGTAAGAAAGTTGCAGAAAGACTGGAAAACCACACTAAGAAGTTTGGGCTTATGCTGAGTCCCCTAAAGAGCCATAGAAGGATTTTAAATAAGAGAATGACATGATTAGATTCGTTTTTAGGGTTTTTTATTTTGGGTTTTTTTGTTTGTTTGTTTGTTTCTTGCTTTTTTTTGTTTTTTGGGTGGTTTTTTTGCCTTATGGAGAATAGATTAGAAAGAAGGGTTAGGGGTTAGAGAGAGACTAAAGACTAGGACCACCAGGGACCACTGTAATTCAGGCTAGCAACCATAGTGGTATATATAGCCTAAGGAGCAAGTTCTTCTTCAATTGCCCCAAGAGCCTGATCAGCAACTCAGTGGTTGAGCGTCCACCTATGAATCAGGAGGTCAGGGTTTGATTCCCGGTCAGGGCACATGCCCGGGTTGCAGGATCAATCCCAGTAGGGGGCATGCAGGAGGCAGCCAATCAATGATTCTCTCTCATCATTGATTTTTCTCTTTCCCCCTTTCCCTTCCTCTCTGAAATCAATAAAAAATATATGAAAAAATAATCATAAAATAAATCTAATTGCCCCAAGATTGAAGTAAATGAAATTGAATAGCACTGGGTACCAGAGTCTCTATAGCTGGACCAGGAATGGGAGTAGATATTATTGCCTTCATTGATGGCTTCTATTAGCTGGTATGTCCAATTCTGATTCCATACTAGTTCCATGGTAGACATAAGATGAGACCACTAGATACAAAGTCTTGTATAATATTTTAATTTTACCTCTTTGGCTAATTTATAACCTTTTTTTAATATTGATATTTTTACTTTCTATTTTATTGGGGCTTAAGCATTACATCTTAGAGGGTATTGAATATCTTCTTTATGCTAATTTTATGAAATTATATCTACAGGTTCAGAAAGTGCTTCTCCAGTTCATTCAGCTCTGGGATCCAGGTCACAAACACCTTCTCCTTCTACATTGAATATAGAACATATGGAACAGAAAGATCTGCAGCTTGATGAGAAACTTCACCACTCTGTTCTTCAGACGCCAGATGACCTAGGCAATATTTGGAAATTAGATATTTGCCATTTCTCCTTTCAGGGCATTAGTGTTAAGAGATCTTAAAATAAGGCATCTTAAATTTGATTATGTATTATATACATATTTATTATGTATTATTCTGTCATTGGGGTTTTCTAATCTTGGAAATTTGTTACTATAACATTTTTTCTTACGCTTAAAGAATAATATTTATATTCTGATTTTTGTTATTTGTGATTTTATAGTTGATTACAGTTCTAGCATTAGTGATTACATTAATTTTGTGTGTTATATTATCATTGATATAGTGCCATTCATTTTCTAAAACAGGAAATACATAATTTGGCATCATTATTCTTAATGTTGTATCTGAAGAACCTGCTGACTCACAGGAGAAAGTAGAATTATCATTTGCTAATCAGGCTTTCAGCAAAACAATTGATCAAATCAATAATTTTTCATTGAACTTGATTCTTCAAGTATATCAACTAAATTTAATTAAAAAGTAGGCAATCCAAATGAAGTATTTTATTTTTAAGTAAATGTTAGAAAGTAAGTAGGGAACCTTAGAAACTATAAATTTAAAAACAAAAGTTATTTTTGCTAAGTCCTACATGATGTAATAAGCATCAGGATAAGAAGTCATTTTGCGAATGTGCTAAAAACTTTGGTCAAGGACATAGTTGTTGAGATATTTACAATAAATAATACAGAACACCAGTTTCATTGATAATGCAGCAGGTTTGTTCTCTGACCAAAGGAAGAAATTTTAAGCCATATAACTTCTGCACCCTCCCCCCCCCCCTTTTTTAAGGTACTCATTCTCTTAGCATGCAATTAACTTGGAATTACATAGCCCTATTTCTGGTTGTGTGTTGTTTCTAACCTTTTCTTTCCTCCTTTGGTCTACAATTTTTTGTTTTCAGTTTTCTTCCTGGCATTTGGAATAAGTTTTAAACTTTTAGAAAATTGCAAGACTGGTAAAATAAATATCCATAAATCCTTTAAATTCACCAGTTGTTAATATTTGCCACTTTATCCCTTTGTGTATACCCACACAGTCACACAAAAAATCCCACCATCCCTTTTTTAAATTTTATCTTTTTGCTGAGTCATTTAAGAGTGAATTAGAAATAACAGACTCTACACACCTCAACACTTCAGCGAGAATGTCCTAAGAATAAGTATACATTAGTTTCCTGCATGCTCACAATATAATGGCCACATTCAAGGTATTTAATGTTGATATGTCACTGCAGTTTTAGTTCATAGTTAAATTTCCTCAGTTGTCCCAATAATATCCTTTATAGCAACCTTATACCACTATTAGCCCAATCTAGAATCATACATTGTGCCCTGGCCAGATGATTCAGTTGGTTGGAGTGTCATCCTGTACACCAAAAGGTTGTGGGTTTGATCCTCAGTTGGGGCACATATGGGAGGCAACAGATTGATGTTTCTCTGTCACATCAATGTTTTTCTCTATTTCTTCTCTCTGTCAAATCAATTTTTAGAAATATCCTCGGGTGAGGATTAAAAAATAAAAGCAAATTGTTGCTTGCTTTGTAATCATTTAAAATTTTGTTTAGTTTGAGAAGGATAAATTAGAGACAAAGTTGACTTATCACTATATTATGAAGGGTCTGTAGAGAGGGGAAATGTTAACAGAGATAGTAAAAACTGCACGCTTTCTGTTAGTTTAGTGAGTTTATACCAGAGCCCATTTTTTATTATTGTGAAAGACTATTCAGTAGCTTTTTAATAATACAGTCAGTTATTGTATACCTTATAAGCAAAGAAAAAAAAGGTAAACATTAAGAGTAAAGGATGTACATATGCTAATAAACATAAATTATTAAGATTTTTATCAAGCAGGAAAAATGTTTACTCATTTTTACTGAAAAATGAGTTTCCCTTTTTTATTATATACATTGAATAGAAAGAGTTTTTTAATGTGGCATACACCTGAAACCTATATAATTTATTAACCAATGTCACCCCAATAACTTTAATAAAAAAAAATTTTAAAGAGCAATAGGTTTTTTTTTAAAGCTGGAGGAGGCCTATAATGATATTCAGCTATACCATCTATTTAACAAATGAAGAAGCATAGCCGTAGGGAGGTTATTAAATAACTTATACATCACATACTTTGTGATAGAAATGACTAGGATCCAAGGTAACATTTTTTACATATAATCTTTCCAATATTAATAAGAATATAAATATGGAAATTTTAGATTATGTTTAAATTTTAGTAAAAATGTGTATTTTTCAATGTCATTGTGATATCCTTTTAATGGTAGGTCTGATATAATTGTGAAATGTATTTCTTTGGAAGTTTTAGCTAAAAAAAAAAACTGGCTTATAAAGACTTCCTACAAGATCTGCCTGTAGCCTGAGATTTTATATTAATTTGATGATATAATCTGAAATAGTTATTAGATAGAGTATGTAGTTGTAAATATGATCTTTATATCAAACAAATTTCTTTATCTGGTATCTTCATCATTCTTTATTTAAAGCTAGATAGAAGCACTATGGAATAAGTAATTATTGCCATAATAAGGAATTATGAACTGGTAATATTTTTACCTTATCAAGAAAAAAATAACACTAATGCATATTGACATTTCTTTTATTTACTTTTATAGATATTTAAGATAGTTAATTCATCTCTTTTGTGTTTTTATGATCAATTCTCCAGAAAAATTACTAATACTTGTGTATTATTTTTTTCTATAGAAATCAGTGAATTTCCATCTGAATGTTGTAGTGTGATGGCAGGGGGTACTCTTACAGGATGGCATGCTGATGTTGCTACTGTAATGTGGCGGAGAATGCTAGGCATTTTGGGAGACGTCAATGCTATTATGGATCCTGAAATACATGCTCAAGTTTTTGATTACCTCTGTGAACTTTGGCAGAATTTAGCTAAGGTAAAAAAGAAAAGATATAAGAGAAGGAAAGTAAAATAAAGTATTAAGAAGCAGAAGCCTTAAATAACATAGCCACACCATCCTTTTTCCCCCCCTTATTATATACTGGTGCTTACCATGATAAAGTCACTTAACCATGATGAAATATGTAGTTAGTGGTAGATACTGGACTTGATCTCAAGTTTAAGGTAAAACAAATTAGAAGAAAGAACACCTTTCATTGGTTTATTGCATTTTATTTGAAAATTACAGATTAGAGATAACCTCGGCATTTCGACTGATAATTTGACCTCCCCTTCTCCACCAATTTTGATACCTCCATTGAGAATTCTTACACCTTGGCTTTTCAAGGTAAGCTTAATATATAAAATATTAATTGAAACATTTCATTTAGGATATAAGTATGTGTCAGTCTTAACATTTGACAGATGTTTGAGCTGTTGTGTAGTCTTCTAGCACACTTAGTTTTTAGTCACTAGGGGTTATACAGCAAAGAGAGTGGGCACAGCAAAATTATTGTACAGCAAGCATGTCAAACTCAAAGGCTAACATGGGCCAAATAAACAAGGGTTAAGTTTATGTGGGCCGCAAAAAAACAAAAGCTTTAATTTTCATAGAAATGTAGGTTTATTTCAATAGAGACATGCTGAATACAAAGAGCTGAAATAAATGAGTAATCATTAACATAAAATAATAGAACATTTTAATAAAAATTAATATTTTTTTTGAACATTAACTTACCAGACACTGAATAACTGCACAAATTAATAACGCAAATAAACCTATTTTTCTGGTTCTCCAAAAGCGAAATATTTCCTGTTGAGCACACCAAATGAGTCAGTATAAGACTAATAGCATGGCATTCGGCTGCTAAAATATACCCTGCTAGTATTAGTGGAAAGAAATGGTGCCCCTGCGCGTAAGGCGCATAAGGGAAATGAATGCAACACGATTATAGTAATCAATCATTAGCGAACGTTATAGTTTGTTATTAATAACTAGAGGCCTGTTGCACGAAGAGATTCGTGCAATAGGCCTTCCTTTCCCCTGGCTGCTGGCACCGGTTTTCCTCCGGCACCCGCCACCCAGGTCTTCGCTCTGGCCGGGCTCCAGCTGGAGCCTGCCCCGCGGCCATGAGGCTTTGCTGCTACGCCTCCCCACGGCCGTGAGGCTTTGCTGCTACGCCTCCCCACGGCCATGAGGCTTTCGCTGCTCTGCCGGCCCCACGGTCGTGAGGCTTTTGTTGTTCTGTTGGCCCAGGGGCCGCCAGGCTTCGCTCCACCGCTTGGAGCCTACATATGCGAATTAACCACCATCTTTGTTAGGTTAATTTGCATACTCTCCTGATTGGCTGGTTAGCATAGCGAAGGTACGGACAATTTACATGTTTGTCTATTATTAGGTAAGATTATGTATAACAGGAAATTGTAAAAATTAAGTTACAAAATTTTTTAAACGTTTCTTACATACCATTATATTGGTGGGGCTGCAAAAATATTCATTGTGGCCCGCCGGCCGTGAGTTTGATATGCTTGTTGTACAGGATGCATCATTTTTATAGAAAACTAGAGGCCCAGTGCACAAAATTCGTGCACAGGTAGGGTCCCTAGACCTGGCTGGCGATCAGGGCTGATCTTTGGGGTGACAGGCGGGCCAATCAGGGGGGCCCTGCTGGCACCCACCTTGGCTGGCCTGGCACTACCCACTCACTGCCCCCTTCTCCCGCTCCCCCCCCGCTGCTGCTGGTCTGGCCTGTGGGCTGGAGGCAGCTCCTGCATTAAAGCGTCTGCCCCCTGGTGGTCAGTGTACATCATAGTGACCAATTGGTCCACTGGTTGTTCCACCGTTCAGTAGATTTGCATATTAGGCTTTTATTATATAGGATTATGTTTTTACTAGAAGCCCAGTGCAAGAAATTCGTGTACTGGTAGGGTCCCTAGCGGCTGCCAGCTGCCGGCCACCAGCCAGGTACTCCCTCCCTTTCCCCAGCTGCCTGCTGCCACCAGGGCATCCCTCCCTTCCCCCAGTCGGCCCGCTCCCTGGTTGAACTCCCAGAAGAACTCCAGTAGAGGGGACAATTTGCATACTAAGCTTTTATTATATAAGATTATATTTAATGAAATATTAATCTTAAATTTGTGTCACAGTATGTATGTACTTTTAAAGATGTGATTCTTTTAAGTATCACTTGATATGTTTGATACATTTTTCTAAGCGAAACTGTGTGGTTATTCATACTATTTTGTATCATTTTAATGGTAATGGTTTAGGTAATTCTGATATTTAGTTCAAAGAAATTGAGCCAACATAGATATAAATGAAAATAAATATATTGCTTTACAGGGGAGTAGGGGCAGTCAGGGAGACGTCAATGGGGAGAAAGGAGACTTATGTAATACTTTAAACAATAAAGAATTTAAATTATAAAAAAAATAGCATGTGTGGGGTTAAGGAGTATATGAAAACTGTACTTTATGCTCAATTTTGCTATGAACCTAAGACTGTTCTTTTAAAAAGTCTATTTAAAAACAAAACAAAAATGAATAGTAAAGCATTTAATGTTACAGGCACAGAAAACTTACTAACAAAACTATCCTACTGTAAGGGATATATAAATAACCCTTTGTTATATAAATAAGATACGTGCTTTGAAAAATATATATATAAAGCCTAAATAACCGTTAGGTTCAGTCAACTGAACAACCAGTTGTTATGACACACACTGACCACCAGGGGACAGACACTCAACACAGGAGCTGCCCCCTGGTTATCTGTGCTCCCACAGCCAACCTCCCACAGTCCCTCCCTCCAGCCAGCCAACCTCCCGTGGTCCCTCACCGCAGTCGGCCGAGTGGTCAGTGCACTCCCATAGTCAACCTCCCATGGCTGCCCAACCTCCCGCAGTCCCTCCCCCTGGCCGGTCGGATAGTCAGTGCGCTCACACTGCCTGGGCGGCCAACCTCCTGCGGTCCCTCTCCCTGGCCAGCCGGCCTCGAGATGGCCCCGATCACCGGCCAGGCCAAGGGACCCCACCCGTGCACAAATTCATGCACTAGGCCTCCAGTGTGTGTGTGTGTGTGTGTGTGTGTGTGTGTACATATATATATGTATATATATTTCCTGATATATTTAAATGTTTAAGTATTTAATAAACAGTATTTGTTTTTGAGTAATAAAGCCAATATTTTTAAATTGTAGGCAACCATGTTGACTGATAAATATAAGCAAGGTAAATTACATGCTTATAAACTTATTTGCAATACAATGAAAAGAAGACAAGATGTTTCTCCAAATAGAGATTTTCTGACACATTTTTATAACATAATGCATTGTGGATTACTTCATATTGATCAGGTAAATATATGCACTTTCTAGCAAGTTGCTTTATATGTTTATCTTTGATTCTCAATTCTGTTTAACTCCTGACATTCAAAGTCTAGAATTAAAATTTTTTCCTATGTAGTGGTTTATTTACAAGTTTTTTCATTTTATGACCTTATTTGTTTTTGAAATGTAGGTGGAAAAACAAGCTATTGTAACAAGGGGTTGACTTGACTATTAAATGCATTGTTCCTCTAGTGTTATACCAAATAGTTCACTTTTTGAAGAGATTAAGCCATCCTTTGCTTATGTTGACAACATTTTGTAATTTTTACTTGATAATTGGTACTTGAGGCATATGGACTTACTCATCTAGTCATGTAGTATTCAGAGGTTTTTTTTCTACTCTAAGAGTCAGCACATCACATTTTCTTATTACCATAAATTGTATGAGCATAATGACAATTATATTGACTTGGCGTTTGTGTCAATCACAATCATTACATTATATAGTCATAATTATGACTCTAAAACATTACTTCAGGTGTCTTGATTCTGGCCAAAAAACTGAAAAGTGTGGTAGGTTACAAGTCAAAGTAATGCAAGCGTTTCTATCAAATGTGGTTAAATTTCACTTTGAGTTCATTTAGAGAGCATTAAATTTATATTAAAAGATATTTTACTTTCTGAAAAATGAGTAAACTTCTTGCATTAATTAGAACTAATTACAATGTTCTACCTTATAATATGTCTCAGATAAATCGATGATCTTGATAACTAGAAAAAGAGAGCTTTTGTGTAAGATAAATTACATTGAGTAATACAAGGTAATATGCCACATTCTCATTGTAAATTCCAAAGGCAAAGTGGATTATTAATCAAGTCAAGAATATTCCCTCAAAGGTGACTACATCTAGATTTCCATTGCTAGATATCTATCATCAAAGGACTTCAGTTTATCTAAAAAAGAGAATCTCTTCCGTTGTAATATAACAGGTCATGCAACTTCAGAGATCAGAATCATCACATGGAAACAAATAGGTAACAGGAGGAACTACTCTGCAATTCAGTTTTAACCCTCTGAAACAAAGAGCCAACTTCCTCTGTAGTGTGAAAAATGCTGTATTGATGTCAGTTAAACAAATATGTTTGAAGTGTATTTTCCTTTGACAGAATATAATAAGTATGGATTATTTGGAGGAATTAAAATTAGTATTTGTAATTAGTCAGCCAATATATAGTAACTAGAGGCCCGGTGCACGAATTCGTGCACCAGTGGGGTCCCTCTGCCTAGCCTGTGGGATCAGGCCAAAACTGGCTCTCTGACATTCCCCTGAGGGGTCCCGGATTATGAGAGAGTGCAGGCCTGGCTGAGAGACCCCACCGGTGCACGATCAGGGCCAGGGTGGACGCCAAAGGTTGGCCAGCTAGGGAGGGACCATAGGAGGACTCCAGGGTGTGTCCAGCCTCTTTCAGTCAGTCCCGATCGGCTGGACTCCAGCAGCAAGCTAACCTACTGGTCAGAGCATCTGCCCCCTGGTGGTAAATGCACGTCATAGTGACTGGTCGGCCGGTCTACTGCCCCCTGGTGGTCAGTGCACATCATAGCGAGCGGTTGAGCTGCCTTAGCATATCATTAGCATATTACGCTTTGATTGGTTGAACGGATGACTGGACACCTAGCATATTAGGCTTTTATTATATAGGATTACCTGTTTTATTATTTCATGTGATATCTATTTTTAAGGATATTGATTAGCTGATACTCAAAATTACATTTGTGACATTCTTTCTCCCTTCTTTCCTTATTCCTCAGGATATTGTCAATACAATCATCAAGCACTGCTCACCTCAGTTTTTTTCACTTGGTTTGCCTGGTGCCACAATGCTTATTATGGATTTTATTGTAGCAGCTGGCAGAGTGGCTTCTTCAGCTTTTCTCAATGTAAGTTTTTATTTCCTGTTCTTCATAATATAACAAATATTAGTTAACCAAGATGCTACTAAAGAGCAACAAAGGAAGAACTAAACTGTTCTTGATAAAAATATAGCAATCTAATGTTCAGGAAATTTCACAGTTTAATTGGAATTGTTGTGTCTTCTGCATTAAAAAAGTAAGAAGTTCTAATATATAAGAAAGTACTAAAATTTGTTGAGGAATTGACCCAAGAACTATAAAAATGGACTAAATCTGATAAGCAAAACAGAATTTTAAACCGAGGAAATGTAAGGAAACGGACAGGAGGAGGGAAGAAAGTAAAGAAAAGGCAATGGACTATAGCAAAAGAAAAGAAAGAAACAGAGGTGAGATAACCCAGAAATATGCTCTTAGGAATACACTCTAACCCAGGGGGGGGCAAACTTTTTGACTCGAGGGCCACAATGGTTTCTTAAACTGGACCGGAGGGCCGGAACAAAAGCATGGATGGAGTGTTTGTGTGAATTAATATAAATTCAAAGTAAACATCATTACATAAAAGGGTACGGTCTTTTTTTTTTTTTAGTTTTATTCATTTCAAACGGGCCGGATCTGGCCCGCGGGCCGTAGTTTGCCCACGGCTGCCTAACCTCTAAACAGCATGTGGGATTTTTTTATGCAGCTGTGGAGCTCAGGCGGTGCCAAGTAACTCAGTATAGTTGGAACATGTTCATTTTAAGAGGCAGGGGTGAACTGAAGAGAAAGACAGTGACTGTTTATAGTGCTAAAGAGAATAGATTTCATCTTAAGGAAATAATGAAGAACCATTGAAGAATTTTAAGGAAAGAGTGACATGATCAAATTTGTATTTTAGAAAGATCACTCTGTAGCAAAGTATAAATAAGAAATAATTTACTGAAAACCTACTAGAAAATTGAAAGAGTGTTTGGGAAAGAAAACTCGGTAATACTTGACTAGCACTCTATAACTTGCAAGGCAGTTTTACAAACATTTTTTCATTTATAAGCTGCAAAAGACCAATAGTGAATGAGGGGGAGTTCTATTTGGGACATAGTAAGCTGCCCATTAGACTTGCATGAGATGTCAGGAGGGCCATCATATGTCTGACTCAGGAGCTCAAAGGAGACATCAGGACTGAAAATGTAAAGCTGGGAAACATTGCTTTTGAGATAGTATTGAAACCCATGAAACTGGATGCAATCACCAGAGGAAATGTGCAAATAAAAGAAAAACCTGTGTTTATAGCTAGTTATTAATCTCATTTCTTTAGTTCCCTGAGAACAGTGATCATGTCTTACTCATCTTGCATCTCCAGGGCCTAGCCTAGCATCATACTTATAGATTTTTATTAATTGAACTAGAGGCTGGTGCACAAAAATTTGTGCACTGGCGGGGGAGGGGAGGTGTGGGGGGGTGTCCCTCAGCCCCACTTGTGCCCTCTCACAGTCTGGGACCCCTCAGGAGATAACTATCTGCTGGCTTAGGCCCACTCCCCGGGTGGCAGATGGCAGGCCTAATCCCTCGGTGCCTGCCCCTCCTCCCCGTGTCGCACACACGGCAGGGCCAATCCAGGGGTTGGGGTGCCGCCCGGGTCGGGTCGCACACGGGACACCCCGGGCGGGTCGCACACGGGACTCCAGGCAGGCCGGCGGATCGCTGCTGCCTCACCCGGCCACCCCGGGTTGGGTCACACACGGGACGCCCAGATGGAGGCCAGGTGGGCTGGCCAATCGCTGCTGCCCCGCCTGGCCACCCCGGGTCGGGTTGCACAAGGGACACCCAGATGGAGGCCAGGTGGGCTGGCTGATCGCTGCTGCACCGCCCGGCCACCCCGGGTCGGGTCGCACACAGATGCCTGCCGCCCCGGGTCGCAGATAGCAGGCCCGGATGGCGGCAGGGCAGGCGGGATGGCGCTGTCCCACCCTGCCTGCAGTATGCAAATTAGCCGCTATCTTTGTTGGTGGTTAATTTGCATATCACGCTGATTAGCCAATGGGAGGCATAGCGAAGGTACAGTCAATTACCATGTTTGTCTATTATTAGATAGGATGTGTAAGAATTTATTTAGCACCCTAGTATGTGTTAAACATAGTACTAAGCTATGATTATTAAACTTTTGTTTCACCTTGTGTACAAAATGATCCTTTGGGTAGAATACAGAACGATATAGAATAAATGAGATAAGATTCTAAAGTATATTAACATCTATAGAATATAAGACAACAAATAGGTACCAGTAGGAGGAGCTTAGTATAGTCCAGTGGTTCACAACCTTCCTAATGCCACGACCCTTTAATATAGTTTCTCATGTTGTGGTGACCCCCAATTTCATTGTTACAAATTGAACATAATTAAAGCATAGTGATTAATCACAAAAACAATATGTAATTATATATGTGTTTTCCGGTGGTCTTAGGCGACCCCTGTGAAAGGGTCGTTCAACCCCCAAAGGGGTCATGACCCACAGGTTGAGAACCGCTGGTATAGTGGTTAAAAGCATGGAGTCTATAGTTAATCAGCCTGGGTTAAAATCTCAGCTCTGCCACTTACTAACTCTAAGACCTTGTGCAAGTTACTACTTAATTTCTCTATCTCACTTACTTTAATTATAAAATGGAGATGACCTTCCTCATAGGGTTATTTTATAAGGATTAAAATAATAATTGTAACATGGTTGGGACATTATTTGACACAATTTGCAATAAGAGAATTTGTTAAATAAAATTATATGGTAATTCAGACAAAGAAGAGATCTTACTTTTTTAGGGGAGGTTTCATGTAAAAGATACTTGAATATATTCTTGGTAGATTAGTATTTTTATAAGTCAGGATGAAGATGAGGGGTAGTATTCTAAGGCAGGGGGAAACATGAGTAAGCTGTCAAGGAATGACAAATAATTCATTTTATTTAGAAGCTAGTTAACCTAACTAGAGAGTAGTAGACAGAAAGAACAAAAAGGTATTTTAGTTTCCAGCTACCCAAAATGTGATCTGCACACTAAAAACATCTGTCATGATATTGGCACTTGTTAGAAATGCAGAATCTCAGACCCCATCCCAGACGTACTGAAATAGAATATACATTTTAACTGTATCTCAAATGATTGATATGGACAATTAAAGGTTAAGAAGCACTGCTTCAGACTACTATATTTTGTAAGGTTTTGAATGCGAGGATTCAGATTATAATTCTATCCTAGGTTACAGTAAATTTTTTAAAGTAAAGAGAGAGAATCTGTGCTTTGGGAATCTATACTAATAAAAGCCTAGGTGGTCCTCGTGCCCTTGCGCATGACATCGTCACAAGATGGCCGCCACAAGATGGCAGAGCAGAGGTGGGGCCCGGCAGCCGCTCCGCGCAGTGAGGCCTGGGGGTCCCACTGCTCCATGTGGCGTGGAGGAGGCTGGTCCTGGCTTCTCCACCGCCTCGTGTGGAGGAGGCAGGCCCCAGCAAAGGAGGCAGGTTGCAGCAGGGGAGGGCAGTTGTGGCAATCAGGCTGGCAGGGGAGGGCAGTTGGGGGCCATCGGGCCTGCAGGGGAGGTCATTTGTGGGCGATCGTGCCAGCAGCAGAGCGGTTAGGGGGCTATCAGGCTGGCAGGCAGAAGCAGTTAGGGGCAATGAGGCAGGCAGGCAGGTGAGCGGTTAGGAGCCAGTGGTCCTGGATTGTGAGAGGGATGTCCCAGATTGGAGAGGGTGCGGTCCAGGCTGAGGGACATTCCCCACCCTGTGCACGAATTTTGTGCACTGGGCCTTTAGTATTAAATAAGTATATTAACTTAGGAGTAGATTAAATGGTAGACAAACTAAGAATGCTAAAGAAGTTATAAAGCTATTATCATATATAGAGGTCCGGTGCACAAAATTTGTGCACTGGGGGTGGGGGGGGGGTCCCTCAGCCTGTCCTGTGCCCTCTCGCAGTCCAGGAGCTCTTGGAGGATGTCCAACTGACAGCTTAGGCCAGGGGTGGGCAAACTTTTTGACTGGAGGGCCACAATGGGTTCTTAAACTGGACCGGAGGGCCGGAACAAAAGCATGGATGGTGTGTTTGTGTGAACTAATATAAATTAAAGTAAACATCATTACATAAAAGGGTACGGTCTTTTTTTTTTTAGTTTTATTCATTTCAAACAGGCCGGATCCGGCCCGCGGGCCGAAGTTTGCCCACGGCTGGCTTAGGCCTACTCCCCACATCAGTCGGACATTCTTAGAGTTGCTGAAGAGGCGGGAGAAGCTCCCGCCATTGCCGCTGCACTCACCAGCCTGTGAGCCCGGCTTCTGGCCAAGCAGCGCACCCCCTATGAGAGCACACTGACCACCAGGGGGCAGCTCCTGGGCTGAGCGTCTGCCCTCTGGTGGTCAGCGTGCATCATAGCAACCAGTCATTCCGCCATTCAGTCGATTTGCATGTTAGCCTTTTATTATATAGAATTATCAGCACACACAGATTATCAATCTTTTGGATACTGGCAAAAAGTTTACAGAACTCAGGGGAGACCAGTACATAAACCAATGTCATTTTGTTTTTGAAATATATTTTTACTAGAGGCCCAGTGCATGAATTCATGCACAGGTGGGGTCTGGCTGGCCCGCCCTAATGGGGGCCATTGGGCTTGTCTGGCCGGGGGAGGGGCCATGAGTAGTTGGCCGGCAGGCCCCGTCCCCTGGTCGAACTCCCAGTTGAACTCCCGGTCGAGGGGACAATTTGCCTATTAGCCTTTTATTATATAGGATTAATTTCAGAGAGGGAGATATAGAAACATCAATGATGAGAGAGAATCATTGGTTGGCTGTTTCCTGCATGCCCCCTACTGGGGACAGAGCCTGAAACCTGGGCATATGCCCTGACTTGGAATCGAACCGTGATCTTATGGTTCATAGATCGACGCTCAAACACTGAGTCACGCTGGCTGGGCTAAACCAATGTCATTTTTTTTTATCAATTTACCATGAAAACCATTACTGTTCAATGGGCCAGTTATTCCAGGTGACTAGTCAGTATATTTCC